TTCCTTGATTCTCCTGCTGCTGCTGTAAATGTTGACGTAGTGCAGCAGCAGCAGCAGCAGCAGCAGCAGATGGTGCAGATCCTCGAGGTTCGTCTTGTGCTGCTAAGCTGCAGCGTAGTGCAGCTACTGCAGCAGCAAATTCTGCTGCTGCAGTAGCAGAACATGGTGCTGCTGCTGCTGCAGCAGCAGCAGCAGCTGCTGCTGCTGCTGCATCAGATACCTTAGATTCATCAATAATCATACCGCTGCTGTTGCTACTACTGTTGCTGGTGTTGCTGCTGTTGCTGTTGCTGCTGTTGCTGCTGCTGCTGCATCTTGCTTTTTGTCTTAGTAAATGTTTATCATGAACAAGAAGTCCTGTAGGTGGTTCTGTCTTAACACTTTGTGCTGCTGCTGCTGCTGCTGCTGCAGCTGCAGCAGCAGCAGATGAAGGCCAACGATGTGTAAGTGGTGTTGTTGCTGCTGCAACATTTGCTGCTGTTGCTGCTGGATCTGCTGCTGTTGCAGTTCCTGCTGCTGCTGCAGTTAAATCAGTATTTGTTTTAGGTGTAAGAAGAGGGAACCCATGATTTGCTGCTGCTGCTGCATTTGCTGCAGTTGCTGCAGTGGTATTATTACTTGAATTAGGTGTACTACTAGCAGCAGCAGCTGCAGCAGCAGCAGCTGCTGCAGCAGCAGCAGCAGCAGCAGCAAAAGATCTTTGTGTATTATTGCCTGTTCCTCCACCATATTGTTTTCTATCCTCATGCATCTGCATCTGCTGCTGCTGCACCTGTTGTTGCACCTGCATCTGTTGCTGCTGCTGTTGCTGCTGCTGCTGCTGCTGTTGCTGTTTAGGCTGTCTTCTTAATACTTGCTGCAGCAATTCACTTCTTGGTATATTTGCTGCTGCTCCTCTTTCTGCACTCTGCAGCAGCAAACGTAATTGTGCCTCCTTATATGAATCAACACCTGCTTCCCCTGCAGCAAGTGCTGCTTCTGTTGCACCAACAAGTAATCTTTCTGCTGTTTTTGCTGCTGCTGCTGCTGCACCAACCCCACCACCACCACCACCACAACCACTACAACCCCCTCCACCCCCTCCACCAGTACCACCCC